CAAATCAAAAGCTAATTAATTGCGATTTAATTAAACATTTTTTCATGCTCTTGTCACACTCCGAGTGTGGGATGAGACTTAATTTAATTCACTTGTTGGCCACGCAAATAATATGAAATTAAATAGCGATGCGCCTTCAACCTGCACAACAAAGTTGGCATGAAAAGAGTAAAAAAACATATAGAAAAATATTTATTTAATTCAATACATATAAATGTACAAAAAGCAATCTCAATTGTTGGCCTTTAATATTCAGAATTTCTGTTTGCGCAGTGGAATTTTGCTGGCTAGTGTAAGTGTGGCTTACAGTGCGGACCGCACGCAGTTGGTCGTCTTCTCATGTTCCATAAATTAATCAATTGCCGCTGCCGTTATCCGTAATCCTTTATCACTCGTTTATTTTATTGATGGGCAGCAATCAGCGGCCGCAAGGATGCGCCGCCAAGGATCAAGAGACTCGCGCAAAAAGGCATTCGTCCCTCTCCCCCCATTTAAATCAGAGATAATGGCTCGCCCAGCTCCACGCATTGCTTCACATCGCAGCGTTCGCTCAGCCCCGCTGACCCGCCGACAGGCGACAATACGCAAATAATGACGTATTTAATGAAAGCACATAATAATTTTCGTTTTTATTACACTGTAGCAGTGCACTTTGATGCGGCTGTGAAACGTGCAACGATTCAGGTGAGACATCTGTGAATCTGATATTAAATTGAGCAGGTTTATGTTGAGCTTTAAGGAATGTGCATAGATAGACAAAGTGCTGGAAAGCTATAGTGAAACTATGGGTTGACCAAGCTAGAGTGATACTATTTCTAGTAATTACAGTGCAGTTACTGTTTAAGTCATTAATAATATTTAGTTGCCGAAATAACTAATGATATTTGCCATTTGATTGTTAATTATGTTAATTGAAATATGAGCTTAGTTGGCGCGCTTCATTGTATACATGAAGCTGAAATTTGGTGATTCAGTCAGCTTACATATAGCCGCCGCTAGAAAGCGATTTGATCACCATCTGGAGCAAGGTTTACTTTAGAAATCATCGAAGCCAATATTTGGCATGTTTTAGGATATCAAATAATTTCTGTATAATTGAACAAACTTTAACAAAAAAGAACAGAAATATTTTATGAAGGCTCCAAGCTTGCTTCCCCTTATTTAATTAATATATTAATTGTGGCTAATATATCAAATATTGAACATATATATGTAAGCACATACAGAGCTAGTTCAACCAAAACCATGTCATAATCGATAAGATATATCAGACTTAAATTCGTAACCATCCGCAGTGAAGCTGATTCAAAGTGCTAACCGAATAGCCAACAATTTATAGACAGTTTGCAGTCTTCGTTCGGTAGGAATTAATGCATATATGTCAGCAAGGATATTATAGCTTCGGCCACTGAAAGATAATTAATCACTTTTGTTGTTAATTTTTATTTCTGTTTTGTCTTTTTATCGATATTATTAACGGGCAGTCAGCACGTCACGCACCGAAGCATGGCGAGAAGCTGCGGAACATTTAAAAGCCGCGAATATTGATGGCTGGTCATTTTATTTTTTTTTATTTTTTATTTTCCATTTTGTATTTTTCTGCTCATTTGCTGTTAGTTGAATCAAGTTTGGTGCTGTGCGTGAAATTGAATTAAATATGAAATTAATTAACTTTAATGTTATTGTTATTGACGTACTATTTAAAATGGTTGTTTGTTTTGTTTGGCAATTGCCAATTGCCTAGAAGAGTTGGCACTCTTAAAGCTAGCCAAATGTATAGCTGCTGACCCTGAACTTGTGCTGGGAGCGCCGTCACTCTTGGAGTGCGCCACGTGCACACAAAGCGGGCCAAAAGTAATTACAACAAAATGCAAAAAGCTTTTGGGCGTGGCTGTGGCAAGTGGCAACTGGTAACTGGCAACTGGCAACTGGAGACTGAGGCTGAGGCTGAGTCTACGGCTGAGACTGGTTCCATTGAATGAGTCTGACAGGCCCTTTGTAATTGGCATTGGGCGCGTCCGTAAGCATAATAACACGAGTCCAACTCCATGTAGCTGTGTTCAGGCGACGCGTCGGCCATTTGGCTTGGAGTCAAGTGCTTGCTTTTGGGCTGTCCTCTCTCTCCAGCCGTATTAAATGCAATATGGCTGCTCCGGCTCGGTGTCCGGGGCAGGCATCCCGCCCGCCCGCCTGCCACACAGACAGCTGGAGTAGAGCAACTACTTGAAAAAGGTTAAAGTCAAATGCCGCGCCGGGCAGACAAAACGGCTGCTTCTGGACATGAGTAAAGGTTGCTAGGGATGGCTAGGAGAGGGGGACTCGCTGCCTCCAAACTTTGGCCAAGTCGTAAAGTTTTCGTACGCCTAGCTGCTTAAGCAGCGCCAACTTTCTGGCCCCCTTCCAAGAGAAGTCCAACTTCCACTTGGACTTCTCAGTTTGGTGTTACGCACAAAAAAGCGAAACTCTGTTTTTCACTTGCTAATAAAAATGTAAACTCTCTAAAGACGAAGACGAAGACTCAATGCGCTAAGCACAATCTCTATGATGATGAGATAAATACTAATAAAAAAGAAAGGTGAATTTATATTAAATATAGTTTGAGTGAGAGAGAGAGTGAAAGGGAGAAAAACATATTTTAACATTAATTAATTATTTTTAAATCAGTTCGACTTAAATTTTAGGCAAGTATTAAAAGATTAAAGCAATTTTTAAGATTCTGATCCAAAATGGTCTAATATGACTTTTATTATTCTTAATTGTATAATTTTTATTTATATTTTATATTTACTTTATTTTTTATTTTTTTCAATCATTATTATTACCAATAGGAAAAGCAAATATATCTTCTCTTAACTTAGATATAGTAGGATTAATGATGGTAAAGGTATACAAATCAAATTTTATCAGCATTAAAATATTATATTAGGCCACATGAAGACCACTTCATATGCATTCTTTATCTTACTTTCTCATGATAATTAATTATAAATTCATCATAATAAATAAACCAAGTTAAACTGCATTTTTGACAGCTTTCAGTCTACCGAAATTATTAATATAAAAATTAATAAATATATCTAATTATTACATTGTTCTTTAAATACATTGCAAGCTGTATTTAAAAACATTTATACCCTCTTTTAGGGCAGACTAGTGACTTGTATCTATAATGAGCTAGACAAAGCCAAAGTTGGCAAAGCTATAAACCAGGCCAGCGCCTCAATAAATTGCCCAGGCGGTGTTTTCTTCAGCTTTTTTGGTTTTGCTTTTGCTTTTGCGGCCTGTCTGTGATTTCGCATGAAATTTTATGCGCGCGTGATTAAAAGTCACGTGCGTGGCTAATGGCGGCAGGAGGCAGAAGGCAGGCAGAGAGGCGTGGGGCAGCTGCTGCAACTAATGGCCAAGTGGCAGCCTAAATGCTGCGACTAAACAATGCTGATAATAATCTGGCAGCTGCAGATGCTCACAGAGCATTCGCCTAACGAGCTGAACTCAGCACCAAATCGAGGCAACTGGGGCTTCGGCGAGACATTTAAAGAGCAGCGGCTGCTCCCACCGAACAATGGCAGCAGAAAGGGCTAGGGCTGGCCAATCGATTCGGTCTCGCTGCAATAGCTTAAGATTTGGAGCCAGCCTCCAGTTTCAGGTTTTTCGGGACCAGTTGCAACATAGTGTGGCAAGTCGTGTAAAGCTGAGCGCTGATTGTCGCCTGATTGGCATTCGCTCTCTAAATAGCGACTAGCTAATTGTCGGGGCACGCGCCACAGGCTGACGCTGATTGCCTGCTAGGGCAAAGGGAATTACCTTATTTTGGCCCAACTGGCAATTTGTATAGTTGCCACAAAGTGGGTCAAAAGTGCAGCACATGGCAATTGCAGCTGGCCAATCGAAGCTATTTGATGACTACTTTATTTTAATAAAATAGTTTAGCTCCAAAATTGATCTCAATTGGCCCAATCCGCCTAGAAAATGACCTGAGCAGATGCCAAAAGTTTAATGCTTAAATTGCGATAATTTTGCAATCTCGCAGCAATTGATAATTTGATGAAAAACGCGTGCAAATCGAAGCTTCAGCTTTAACAAATCCCAACTGATTTGCAGCTACACAAGTTCTATCTATGCAGCTTGTCAGCCTTGGGTGGGCTGTCAAGCGTGGTCCAGGCTGCCTGGCAGAGCCAGCCAACATGTGGTGACAGCTTCGAATTAAGTTATTTGTCAAATGTCGAAACGTTTCGGCCAGCCAACTCAGTCTCTGGCTCTGTCTCACGCTGGGCTAGGAGTCAATATTGGTCCGTGTGACAGCAGTTGGCGCAAATAAAGGGTTTCAAATATTTTATGCAAAAGCTGAATTCAATTTTTGCCAATCAATTGTACAAAAAATATAGAAAAGCCCGATGACATAGGCGCTGACAAGAGCCAGCCAAACGAAAGCGTTTCAAATATTTGCTGAATGGACAGCAGCCAAAAAAGAGTAAGAATGGACGGAGCTAACAGGACTAGACTGAGAGGCTACCCTGCACAGCTTCAGCTGCCTCACAGTGTATCTAGGGTATTCAAAGTGCGAACAATTCAAGTGTTCACAGCTGTGACGCTGCTCGCCTAGGCAGCTATGAAGGCTTTGCACAGGCCGCAACTAAATTAAAAATTTAATTTTTCAATCAAGCCGGCAAACAGTTTAAAAAGCCGCTATGAAATTTGATTAGCGAAATCTCGGCTTGTATTTCCATTTTGATTTCTATTTCCATTTTCATTTCCCACAGCCAATTCCACATTTCCATTCCCATTTCCATTTCAATAGGCGTTCTGTTTGACTGACTGACTGATTGACAAATTGACGAACTGTGCTCATAAAGCAATTGCTGCGCCTCTTCTGCAGCCGCAGATTTGATCGATTGCCTCATTAAAAGCCCACACTATTAACACAGCGAACTTTGAACCTGTCTTGCTTAATAACATTATTTTACAAGCCCTTTTCAATAAGCCCTTTGACTTTAGCATCAGCTGTGTAACACTCTATGTGAGACTTATGAAATCCTCGGCAATTTATATATTTTAATACTCAATCAACTATTGTCAACTATTCCCACATCTGTACCACACTTTTCTTAACTGTTGAATATATTTTATAGACATTTCCACTGCTGTTTGAAGTACTCCAAGACCTATTAGAAGCGTATAGAATAAACGGCATTCACTTTCTATATTCGATGCAGTCAGAAATGTGATTAGCATATGAAACGATTATTGTCTGATAAGACATTGCTGACTTGTCAACTGAAAGCTGGCGAAACTAATTACCGTTCTTGGGCAGAGATAGCCAGTACATAAAGCCGGCAAAACACAGTTCAGTTACATTGATTGGTAACGCTATGCCGCTCACAAGCTGCCAATGGAAGTGTTTATTAGGCTTGCTTTGCCTGCCTCTGCTGTGGACGACAGCTGAAGCTGGCTACTTGGAGGACACTTTTCCTGCCAGCGTGTTAGAGGAAGCGAAATTGACAACGGTATGACGTGCTCCTCCGCTCGAGCAGAGTTTATTAATATCTTATGTTTACAGCTCCAGTTGTTGGCCAAGTACAAGTATCCGGGCGAGCTGCATGCAGTCACCACCGCGGACAAATACGTGCTACAAATGCATCGCATTCCTAGACCAGGCGCTAAGCCTGTGCTACTAATGCACGGACTGATGGACAGCTCAGTCACATGGATTTTAATGGGTCCACATAGTGGTCTGGGTTACTTTCTCTATAATGCTGGCTACGATATCTGGATGGGGAATGCTCGCGGCACTCGCTACTCGCGAGGCCACGTCAAGCTGAATCCCAATACGGACAAGGCCTACTGGAGCTTCTCGTGGCATGAGATAGGATACTACGATCTGCCTGCCCTTATCGATGCGGTCCTGGCCAAAACTGGCTACGAGAAGTTGAGCTACTTTGGCCATTCCCAGGGCACCACAAGCTTTTTTGTGATGGCCTCCACTCGGCCGGAGTACAATGCCAAGATCCATGTGATGAGCGCGCTCGCACCAGTGGCTTATATGACCAATATAGAAAGTCCATTGTTAGGCTTATCGCATAGATTGCTTAAAGTCATTGGAGAAGGTCAGGAACTATTGCCTTACACGGATATGTTCAGCAGCTGCTTGATCTCGGAACCTACATTACAGACCTGCCTATTTTACATGTGGAAAATCTTGGGAAAGAATCTTGCTGAATTTAATAAGGTTTGTTTAGCATAGCACAAATTTCTAATCTAATCGCCTCTCTTAGACAATGTTACCAGTTTTGATGCATCACGTGCCTGCCGGACTCAGTTCTAATCAGGTCCTGCACTACCTACAGCTGCAGAAATCAGATCGTTTCTGTGAATACGACCACGATGTAAAGGAGAACCAGCGCATATATGGACGAGCACAACCTCCGGATTATCCTTTAGAGAAGATCACAGCTCCTGTTGCCCTGTATTATACCCAGAATGATTATTTGGCTGCTGTAGTGGACGTCAAGCGGCTGATCAAGCGACTACCCAATGTGGTCGAGGATCACATGTATCCTTATAAAAAATGGAATCACATTGACATGATGTGGGGCATCAGCGCCAGGCGCCTGGCCCAGCCTCGCATGCTGGAGGTAATGCAATTCTACGATGCAGGAGGACTACAGAATGTAACACAATTGTCCACGACCGAAAGTCCCGATGAGACAACCAACGTGACGACGGAAACTCAGCAGGGTGAAGTGGCGACTGAGACTGACGATTGAATACATATTGTGGATATTAAACGTTCCTTAAGGATAGCTTTGCCGCATATCTTCAATGCAATCTTTAAGGCAGAATTTAAAACATGAAATAAAGAGTGAAGTCAAGATTATGGCTCCAATTATTGTAACACTTTTTAAAATGCTTTCCGTATGATGAATCACAGCCGCATTTATCTCTATAAGCCCTGCGCAGAGTATAAAATAAACGGCTTTCATTTTTAAATACTTTAAATCGATTCAGTCAGAAATATAAACATTATTTGCAGCTATTATAGTCCGATAAGAGCTAGCTGAGCTGTAAACTAAAAGCTGGCGCAACTAATCACCGCTCTTTCGGAACGATACTTACTACATATAGCACGCATATTGACAAAATATAGTTCAGTTTCATTGATCTTCCACATCATGCCGAACGCAGGCTGTCAATGGCGCTGTTTGCTGGGCTTGTTCTGCCTGACGCAACTGTGGATAGCTGGAGAAACTGGCTTCCTAGAGGACCATTTTCCAGCCAGCGTGTTAGAGGATGCCAAGTTGACAACGGTATGAAGTGCTGCTCTGCTCGAGCAGAGTTGATTAATATCTTCAGATTACAGCTTCAATTGTTGGCCAAGTACAAGTATCCGGGAGAGATGCATACGGTGACCACCGCGGACAAATACGTGCTACAAATGCATCGCATCTCTAGACCAGGCGCTAAGCCGGTGCTGCTGATGCACGGACTGCTTGACAGCTCAGCAACTTGGATTATGTTGGGTCCACATAGTGGTCTGGGTTACTTTCTATATAATGCTGGCTACGATGTCTGGATGGCGAATGCCCGCGGCACTCGCTACTCTCGAAGCCACGTCAAGCTGAATCCCAATACGGACAAGGCCTACTGGAGCTTCTCGTGGCATGAGATAGGATACTACGATCTGCCTGCCCTTATCGATGCGGTCCTGGCCAAAACTGGCTACGAGAAGTTGAGCTACTTTGGCCATTCCCAGGGCACTACAACCTTTTTTGTGATGGCCTCTACTAGGCCGGAATATAATGCCAAGATCCATGTGATGAGTGCACTGGCGCCAGTGGCTTTCATGGGTAATATGGAGTGCCCATTGAAAAGGATCGCTCCCAGCTTGCTCAATGTCGTTGGAGAAGCACAAGAACTATTATCGCACTCAAAAATATCTAGCGGATGCGTGATGTCGGAAGCTTCAATGCAAGCCTGCATGCAATACATGGGGAGAGTTTTGGGAAAGAATCCTGCTGAGTTTAATAAGGTTTGTTATGCAAAGCAAATACTTTTAAAGCTAACCTAGTCTCTCTTCTTTAGACTATAATGCCGGTAATTATGGGTCATGCGCCTTCCGGCGCTAGTTCTACTCAGGTCCTGCATTACTTACAACTGCACAAATCAGATCGATTTTGCGAATACGACCACGATACGAAGGAAAACCAGCGTATTTATGGGCGGGCCCGGCCTCCGGATTATCCTTTAGAGAAAATCACAGCTCCTGTTGCCTTGTATTATACCCAGAATGATTATATGTCTGCAGTAGTGGACGTCAAGCGGCTGATCAAGCACCTGCCCAATGTGGTCGAGGATCACATGTATCCTTACAAGAAATGGAATCACATTGACATGATCTGGGGCATTAGCGCCAGGCGCCTGGCCCAGCCTCGCATGCTGGAGGTAATGCAGTTCTATGAAGCAGGAGGACCACAGAATGGAACACAATTGCTCACCACCGAAAGTAGCGAAGAGACAACTAACATGACGACGGAAATGGTGGAGGTGGAGACTGAGACTGAGATAGTTGGTCCAACTGATGGCATGTTCATCTAGACGACCTAATAACTCGATATATTTACTTGGAAACTTAAGCTTGATTCAATGAATATATGTTATTAATAAATGTTCTTTAATAGTCGACGTTTCTTTGGCACTTTTACTGAAGGAAATATATTTATATTACCTTAAACAAATAAACTTATTTCAAGGAATTCGGAAGGAGAATTGAAAACAGTCTCAAAGTAAACAGACGTAGGTGGCGAGTAAAGGCAGATTAATACAGGTGAAGCATTCTCCAGATTCGTCTAGACAATGTCTAAATATTAATTAAGGACACTTGCATGGCTGGTCTATTAATCTAGGGACATATGATATTAAGCAATAATTAATTCGCAGAAAGTTTGACACTCATTTCTAATTATCTTTTTTTTGACTTAAAGCTTGCAAACAAAGTTTCACTCGGGTGAAAAGTTCATTGTGACAATTGCTGAATGTATCCATGGTTTCCTGTTCCTGTTACTTGGCCTACTGTCAGCTGACGCAAACAATGTGTCATACAAATCGCAGAAAGTATAGACTAATTGGACCTATAGTCGATTGATTCATTCAGAAATGTCAACAATATTTCAAGCCATTACTGCCCAATAAGAGCTAACTGAGCTGTAAACTTAAAGCTGGCGCAACTAATCACCTTTCTTTGGAGTATTACCTACTACATATAGCCCACATATTGGCAAAATATAATTCAGTTCTATTGATTTTCCACATCATGTCGATCACGAGCTGTCAATGGCGCTGTTTGCTGGGCTTGTTCTGCCTGACGCAACTGTGGATAGCTGGAGAAACTGGCTTCCTAGAGGACCATTTTCCAGCCAGCGTGTTAGAGGATGCCAAGTTGACAACGGTATGAAGTGCTCCTCTGCTCGAGAGGAGTTGATTAATATCTTTGGATTACAGCTTCAATTGTTGGCCAAGTACAAGTATCCGGGAGAAATGCATACGGTGACCACCGCTGACAAATACATTCTGCAGATGCATCGCATCCCTAGACCAGGCGCTAAGCCTGTGCTGCTGATGCACGGACTGATGGACAGCTCATCAGTTTGGATTATAATGGGTCCACATAGTGGTCTGGGTTATTTTTTGTATGATGCTGGCTACGATGTCTGGATGGCGAATGCTCGTGGTAGTCGCTACTCTCGAGCCCACGCAAAGCTGAATCCTAATACGGACAAGGCCTACTGGAGCTTCTCGTGGCATGAGATAGGATACTACGATCTGCCTGCCCTTATCGATGCGGTCCTGGCCAAAACTGGCTACGAGAAGTTGAGCTACTTTGGCCATTCCCAGGGCACCACATCGATTTTCGTATTGGCCTCCACTCGGCCGGAGTACAATGCCAAAATCAACGTGATAACTGCACTGGCGCCAGTGGCTTATATGGGCAATATGGAGTGTCCACTAATAGGGCTCGCCCATAGCTTCTTCAATGTTGTTGGAGAAGGGCAGGAGTTACTGCCTTACTCAAGTCGTCTTAATGGCTGCTTTCTGTCGGAAGCTACGTTGCAGACCTGTCTGTCTTATCAGTGGAAGCTTTTTGGAAAGAATCCTGCCGAATTGAATAAGGCTTGTTATGCGGAGCAAAAATTGTTAAAGTAATTTAATCCTCTCTCCCCCTTAGACTATGCTACCAGCTACTATGACTCATGTGCCCGCCGGAGCTAGCTCAACTCAGGTCCTGCATTACTTACAGCTGCACAAATCAGACCGTTTCTGTGAATACGACCACGATCCGAAGGAGAACCAGCGCATATATGGACGAGCACAACCTCCGGATTATCCTTTAGAGAAGATCACAGCTCCTGTTGCCCTGTATTATACCCAGAACGATTATATGACTGCTGTAGTGGACGTCAAGCGTTTAATCAAGCGACTGCCCAATGTGGTCGAGGATCACATGTATCCTTACAAAAAGTGGAATCATGTTGACATGATCTGGGGCATCAGCGCCAGGCGCCTGGCACAGCCTCGCATGCTAGAGGTAATGCAGCTGTATGAAGCGGGTGGACCACGAAATGAAACACAACCACCCACGACCGTAAGTCTCGCAGAGACCACCAGGTTGACAGCGGAAACTGTGAAGGATGAGGCGGAGACTAAAAGTTTAATAAAATAAACATTTTTGCAGCAGCTTTATGCTATATACCGAAAGTAAAGAGATTTATTTATTTATTTATTTCCCGATCACAGAGTGGGCAACTAGCCTCTGTTAAAGACATATGCATGCATAGTCAGTGAATACGGAGTTAAAGGAATAGAAGTGCCTCTGCCTTTTCGAATTAATTTGCATATAATTTGGCACACATTGACTTTTATATATTTGTTTCTCTTATGGCTTACTCTGCTCGTTACAAGTTTCGTTTGTTGGCGTAAAAAAGATTTCCGACTCGAAGACATTCCTTTTCTGTTCCCATTCTCTGCCAACAGCAGGTTATTTATATAGTTGGAATTTTGCTTTTCTTTGCAGCCAACTGCATCCACTTGACTCGAATATATCCTGCCTTTACCAACTAGTCCTAATGCTTGGCAACCTTTTGTGTATTTACTTTCAGCGTCTTCTGGATTTTCTGCCCATTAGCTGTAAAAATTTCACGCAGGCGAAAAGTTCATTGTGCCAATTGCTGAATGTGTTGACGGTTTCTTGTTCTAATTCCTGTTGTTCTGGTGTTCACTCTTGTTGTTGTTGTTGCTTGGCTTGCTGTCAGCTGGCGCACGAAATGTGTCGTCAACACAATGTGCAATTTTTGCTGCTGTTGTGTTTGGCATTCCATTCACGCTGCGCACGCCCACTGCCACGCCTACCGACTGAGACACTTTTATAAATTACACACTTAACTGTAGACCGCGAATAAAGGCGACAACAACAGCAATAGAAAACGCTTAGAAAGTTGCATGTGTCAAATGCAAAGGCCGACATTTTGTTTGCCTGCCTCAAGTGTGTGTGTGCGTGTATGTGTGTGTGTGCTTGTATGTATGTGTGTTTGTTTGTTTATTTTGCATTGTGCATGCAAAAACTTTAGCTTTGAGCGAAATTTTAATGAGCACAGCGCGAAAAACCGCGAAGGAACTTTTTTATTATTTTGGCTTGGCATTGTTTGCAGTTTTAGTTGTTGTTGCCTATGTGTGTGTGTGTGTGTGTGTGAATGGAAATGCATTAAAGTGCAATTTTAATGTCCGCGCATCAGATTTAACACTGCAGCAGACGCTGCCCCAAAGCAACTCTGGGGTGTCGGCCACATCCGGTTCCGTCGCCCCGTCCGAGACGCCGTCGCTGTGGGGCAGCAAGGCAGTTGGCAGGTGGACCTGGTACAGCAGCTGCTTTACAGCATTCGCCGTTCGCTTCATAAATCATAAAACTTTCGCCGCACGTCGCAAACTCACCCCCAGCTGCCGCGCCCTACCCCCTGTCGCTGCCTGCCACACAAGAAACTTGCAACAAGCCAAGCTGCCAACTGACGCTAAGTGTTGAGTAAATGTTTTCGCGCCTCGTTGCGTTCACAAATTCCCCAAAAAAACCTTCTCTATTGCAATGTTGTTGCTGCGGATGTGGCACGTGGTTGTCGGAGCTGCTGCCTTCTCGCCGCTTCATACATATAACTAAAATATCCATATTATTAATACCAGGGGGAAATCCATCGTACAAAAACAAACAAGCGACTAAGATTAACTCTGAATAAGTTTTGCATAAACTAAATGTTGATTTGATATATTTTACATAAGGGAACTTGAAATTTATTTATAGGGCTCTGCAGTAAATTATATTGATAAGAATTTGAAATTTTTAATATGTGTTCTTTGAGCTGAGATAAATACATTTTTAGAATATTTATGGAATGGATTAAGTGTTTTGTTTAGAGCTACACAAGTCTAAATCATAAAAAAATAAGAAAATATATTTTTAATATTAATTAAACAGGCTTTTGTGTATAGAAAATTGTATGACATTAATGTGGAAATGGAAATCCAACTATATAGTCACCAAGTTCAATACACAATCCGCAATACCCATTTTCACAACCATGATCATCCTCTTTTTTGAAGAAGACTCCGCCAGCCCTTAAAGCGCTCTATCGCATTATGAGTAAGCCTGAACTTATCTGAACTTAACTGGACATATTTGGAAAATATATACATACATGGAAATATATATAATATATATATGAAAATATTTTATGATTGCCATACTATTATATACAAACAGATTTCGTTTCACATATTTGAACATGCTCAATTTGAATTAGGGTTTTAGATTGTTGGCAAACAGATCGATTATTGTTTGCAATGTTTTGCAATTTAGAGTTCCCATTAATACGCCCCGTAGGCCAATAAATTGTGGAATAAGTTTTCATATGCAATTTAAATATTTATTATTTATTTTTCATATGACTTTATAATAAAACTCGTGCCGGCTGCTGTTCTTGTTGTTGTTGCTTCCATTCAAATATGATTTGTTGTTGTTATTCGTTTGTTTGTTTGCTTGTTTTAATCATGTTTTGAATTGGTTTATTATTATTATAAGTATTATTATTACAATTATAATTATTAAACATGCATAGAGATTTTACTTTTACGATAATTTGCAGTTGCTTTTTAGTATTTTATTTTTATTTGTGTATATACTTAACTGGAAAGGTATAAATAAGGGGTTTATATTTAAATATTACACACGTAAAACTAGCACATATCTATGCATATGTATATGCATATATATATGTATATATATGTAAACTCACACAAAAAAAAATAATTATAGTAAACAAACATTCATAGCCCGTGTTCGTGAAGTAATTACATGAAATGAAAATATTTATATATAAATGTATATAAAATAGATTATGCTGATATTTACAGGAAACTTAATAATAAGTATGTTAATTAATAGAAATATATATAAATATGAATGTTAATTAAATTTTTTCCATTAAGCAAATTGTGTTTTTTTGATTGTGTTTTTGCGTGTATTTTTTTATAATTATGAAAATTTGCACATTTAACATTGAGAACATTGAAATATGTTTATTTGTTTTTGTTTTTTTTTTTTTTTTGTTTTTTTTTTTTGGTTCAATTGAAATTTCGATTGCCTGTAAAAACTTGCATTCAGTCTTAATACTAAATACTTCTAGCCATGGCCAGACCACACTCTTCGCTAATCGTGTTTGATTTTTTATTTCTATTTTTTTTTTTTTTTTTATTCATTTAACTTCTCTGGTTTCTTTTTTTTTTAGATATTTATCATTATTTTTGGCTTGCAATTTAACACGCAAAAATTTCAATAAACACACAAATTTAAATAAATATAGATATATATATATATGGAAATATATACATATATATATATTTCGCATCTAGACTAATTGCTAATGGATTTTTGTGTGTGTTTATTTTAGATTGCTGCATTTATATCTTTATTGATTTTTTCTGTTTTTTTTTTTTGTTTTTGGTATTTTGCACGGTGCTTGATTTTTGGCTTTGTGTATTGCAAAAAATTTTAAAACTTTAATATATTTTTATATATATAAATTTTTTTTTGTCATATTTTACATGTATTTGGTTTTCAATTATTTTGAATAATTATTTGATTCAAGCAACGCTGTCTAAACATTTTTTTTTTCAATTTTTTTTTGCAGCGTTTTAGAAACGTTGTCTTGACTTTTGAATAGATACGAATAGATTGGAGATATGTCGCTAAGTTTTGCCCAAGACTACGTTTATGTAATAAGCACAAGTATATGGAGTAAGTGTTTGTAGATTATGCTATAGGCTATGTAGTATAAGTATATATGCATATAGACACCGATAACTGCTAAATGTCAAGCTATATGTACACAATTCGCTACTCCCCAACGCTAGGCCGCCGAACACTCTAGAAATAGTCCATTTTGGGTGCATCCAAAGCCGTGTGCATAGTCAAAGTGACACCTCGATTGATGCTCACCGCCGGATAGAATACACCGTAGAGATCCCGGAAAGCTACCGATCCCTGCGGCATCTCGTTCACCAGAAAGCTGAGCGTGTGTCGCTCCAGATCTAGCAGCACGCCAATTGTGCTGCCCGTGGTGATGCCGCCCTCGACGCGACGCTCGTGTATGGAATTGTGCTGGAACCACGAACGCTGTCGATCGATGTACATGGCAAAGGACTTTTCATCTTTGCCTGAAATGAATGAGAGACAGTGGAGAGAGAATTTATCATAAGTGAGTTGTATTGTATTAAAATATTAATAATAAATTTACATTTTATAAGCGAAAGAAACTCATTAAGTGATCGAGGTGTAAGACTTATATATTATCAATTTGTCTCATGAATTTGTAAGACTTTCTAAGTTATATATCTACTTGAATTTAATGAATAAACCTTTATGATGAAAGCTTGTTAATTTAGCTGAAAATATACCTTAATATCGATGATAATGCTTTGGCCTTAGCTAATAAGACTTTCGCTTTAACTTCCTCTCACTCACTCCATTTGTTTCTTACAATTTCTATACACAAATAAATGTATATAGCTTTATATTCTTATAGACTTACAACAGCTTTTTTAGCTTAGTCTACATTAAGTCTCTTTCTCTTCAATATATTTTGCCAGCTTCTCCTGCTGCAGGCTGAACGCGCTGTCACTTTTTTCCATTTCATTTTCAGCTTTCACCTTGTATTATAAAAGACAACTGCAGCAGCAACACAGACAACAACAGCAGCAGCAGCAGCAGCAGCAGCGGCAGCAGCTCGTAAAAAGAAGTTTGCAAAAACTGCATTGTTAGTGTCAATGTCAGTCGCTTGGGGGCGCCACCTGCGCCAAAGTTGCGCATTTCGTTAGCGAACTTCAGCGTTTGCATATGAAAATTTAATTTAAAAACTTGCGAGGGCAGAGACAAATGCTTAATGGAGCGCATGCACAGCTTTAACTATAACAAAGTAGTCTGAGAATTTCTAGCAAATAATTGAAGAAGCGAGTCGAATCCACAAATAAACTTTTGTCACGCGCTAAACTTGAAGTGTCGCACTTTTAATTACTTTTGTCTGTCCAACAATCCTACATATATAACCCTATCAGTCCCACTTCCCACTTCCCCGCCCCACCTGCCACGCCTCCAGTGAAACGCATTTTCAATCAATTTACTTGCCAGGCGTCTGGGCACGCCTCCTTTT